CCCATGTGCAACAGTCTCCGCGGTGCCGTGTCCATTGAAGTAGGGAAATGTCTTTTGTGCGTACCTAGGTCCAAGAACTCCAACTGTAGTGACTGTAGTGCCACAGCTTGCAGCTGCGACCCCTGGGTAAGGTTTGCTTAGGCGCTGGCTTCCACTTGAGTTCCTTGGCGCAAATCTGCCAAAACCATGCAAAATGAAGACGAACCGAGCAAATGCCTGTAAAGTGTCACACTTGCATCAGCAAAGCGCACCTACCCACAAGTCTGTGAGCAGTCTAAATTGCAGCTGTGGGGCTGGAATGTGCACCTGAAACTTGGCTGCGGCATTGTTTTGGTGAGGAACACATGTCAAGGTGAGAATCTGATAATATCTGATACCATCCATCCGATCCCATCCTCTGAAAATGACATCAATTAGCGCCTTTATGTCCTTCGCAGTCACCCGAAGGATCTCGCCAGTGCTTTTGCTTGCTTGCTGCCTGCCTGGAAATCGGACGGGATCCCAGCACAGCCGCACCAAGCTAAAACCACCTATCCCTATGGCGCTGCTTCATCTGTATAGAGGACTCTCCAAACATCAAAGCGACAGCACTTTGGGTTGGACTTCCACGGATGGATTGAAGTAAAAAATGGAAAACAATTTAATTAGACTTGGAAAATCTAGAGCACATGGCGCAGAATGGTAGGCTCAAGTAGACCGGCCTGGCATGTGTTTTTGTGTCACTTGATTCCATGCTATCAAATACAAGCATCAGCAATGTCAACCCCCGAATCAATAAACTCCACTTGATTATAGAGTTAGGCCAGGTCCCCCCAAATAGTGGCATGATAATCTGCTACTAGAATGGTATGCTCCAAACAATCAGCGCAAAGGTTTATCAATCCGAGGTTGCCATCGTGAGTGATTGAGACTATGTAGTGAGTGGATCAAATGGTGAGATGGATTCACTGAGATTTTAGCTGTCAAGATCTGAAAAGTATGTCCAAGTGCGTCCAATATGTCCTAAGCGACGTGCCTTCAATCTTGGTGGGAGAGGACGCCGACGACGGTGAGGGCGGGGAGGAGGCCGGAGAGGACTGCTGACTTTGTGACGGGCTCTGCGCTGACGGACTTGGCTCTGGAGTTTCCGCTGCCTCACTCGAGCCTGAAAGACGGGCCATCCGAAGACCCACGTCGGAAAGCCAATGGTGTCCCAGCAATAAAACCCTCTGAGGGAATCCTTGATACAAGATGTATGAAGCACCCCACCTGGTGGCTTGAGGTAAATGAAGAAGCCATCCTTCAACATGGCAGCCATCAAGGGAAGCAAAAAATCGCTTCAAAGAAAACTTGGCAAAGCAGCGATGGTGGCTCAGTGCAAGCAACCCTCCTTACTCACAGAACAGGATGAAAGGTCAATGTTGTCAATGCAGTATTCGTAGGAGCTCCTTGGTTTGCAAGCTCAGGTTTGTCAATGATGGAAAGCTGCCAATTTAATTTGGACATGCTGTTCGCTTTGGCCAAGCTCAAGCTGGCAGTAACTCAGACAGATACTTAATCTCATTCAAGGCCAAGTCTCCCGTCTGCTGGACTTTCAATCCTCGCTACAAGGGTCAAGAATGGTAAAAGTTAAAAGTGTGTTTTTGATGCTTGACATTACTCGACGAAATATCCTCAAATATCCTGGAATGTATACCCTTGCTCTCGCCGAGTGGCTTTGGTACCTTGATGATTCGCAACTGTTCAGTGAGGAAGGCCGAACATTGCTCCTAAGCTCAGAACCTCCATATGGCTCTGACCTTGAACTCTCTTGACTTCACGCTGCCCTCAGTTCTGCTGTAAACAAATCTAAATCGAGGCAAGAGTCAGACACGGTTCTCATAAACTCATCGCCTCAAATAGCAGATTGCAGATTCACGCAGGGCAGCGATAAAGAACTTTGAAAATTAATTAGATGCTCAAAGCTTTCTTCCATTTCGGTTGCATTGCCATGCGGTCGTGGCGCGCTTCCCTTCATTGTTGGCAACCTCAATCATTGCATTGAGCTTGCGACATTTGGCGCAAAAACAAATCAAGCCGGGGCAACTGCTGTCTTTGCCTATGATCTGGTTCCGAGCGGCTACTTTGGCTCCCCATTCTTGCCATTCATTCGCTTGTGACGCCTTAGATTGCGATTGGAGCAGTTTTTCTCATCTTTTCCTGTATCCTGCTTCCCTAAGCTGGAAAAAAGAGCTGCGCATGTTCAGCTGGAAAGGCATCCGACAAATTTTCAAAAGTCAAAAAGTGAAAAATCAAAAAGTATACTGTTCGACTTTTCGGTTTTTTTCGATTTTTTCGACTTTTTGACTTTTCGCCATTTCGATGTTTCGACTTTTCGACTTGTCTTCTTCCCTCTCAACTTTTTGACTTTTCTCCTTTTCGTTTTTCTTTCTTAGATCTGTATGCATTCGCAATGAAAGAACGCTTTCTTCAAAATAGACACATCCAACTAAAAAAACAAAAGTCAAAACGTATATACTTTTCGACTTTTCGTTTTTTCCGACTTTTTCGACTTTTCGATTTTTTTCGATTCTTTCGACTTTTTGACTTTTCTCCGTTTCGCTTTTCTTTCTTAGATCTGTATGCCTTCGCAATTAAAGAACACTTTCTTCAAAATAAACACGTCCAACCAAAAAATCAAAAAGTCAAAAAGTATATTTTTCGACTTTTCTTCGACGTTTTGACTTGTCGACTTTTCGAAACTCAAAATGAAACCTTATCACTTTTCGACTTTTCGTTTTTCGACTTTTCGAAATTGTTTTTGCATGGAACCATGCAGCACATCTTTCCTACCCAGCTGCTTCCCTGCCCTGCATGCCTCGATCGATGCTAGCCATTTCTTGAGTGCATCAGGATCCTCTTCTGCAGATGCCAGCAAGGAGCGCCCTTGCTCCAAAAGCATTCCTGACGACAATGCACGTTGAAATCCACATAATGCAAAAAATGCATTCCATCTCTCACACTCTCACACTCACTCACACTCTCTCACGCTCTCTCACACTGGCTCACACTCTCTCACACTCTCTCACGCTCTCTTACACCCTCTAACACTCTCTCACACTCTCACACTCTCTCACGGTCTCTCACAGTCTCTCACAGTCTCTCACACTCTCTCACACTCTCTCACAGAGTCTCTCAGAGTCTCTTACAGAGTCTCCCTTCTTTCAATTGGACCCTGGTAGCAATCTCGCCATGCGCCCCCCACAGCCCCAGCCGTCACGTCTTAGGGCTATAGACTTCCACAGGTCTTGCCGCTTAAATTACAGACACGGCTCTGCTGTTCTTGCTCGTCTCCGACTTTTCCAGTTGCTCTATGTACCCACTCGCCTGCTCAAAAACAGCCGCTTTTGTTAGATGCAGAGCTTTCCTCTGCGCATTTCTGAGAAACTCCGTGCCCTTGTCAGATTCGATGTACTCGTGCCCCTTTGCGATCAAGCCATCCAGTTTCAAGACGCCATCTTCAAAGACCAACCCTAGGCCTCCTGCCCCTGTTGTAAGCAGCTCCCGGCACTGCAGCATCCACTCGCTGGTGTTGGTGAAATCTAGCGAGCTAATCAGGCCTCAAGCAGAGGTGACTGCTGTGGCGAAACAATAGGCTCCTTTATAAAGCCTTTAGTATCCTTTAATCTGAAATTTGGCTTTGGTTACGACTAGATTTGCAATGCTTGGCATAGGTTGACAGTGCTTATCTACTTAGGACAATAAAGCAGCATACAACTTTTTTGCAAGAAACTTTGGAGAGACTCGGGGTTCTCGTGTGCTTCTTGCAAGGTCTTGCGACCCCAAGCTATCAAGGCATTGCCTTGCTCAGATTGCTCCAGCTCCTGCAGGAAGCTTTTGGCCTGCCCATTGAGCCCAGTGCCGCTGTCTTGCGCGTCGAGTGCCGCCTTGGGATACTGTGTGGCCGACTGAATAAAGATGTATGAATACTACAGCGGAAATAAGAGAATTCTACATGAACAGCATATGAACCGCACCGCGCTATCCCTGATGAGCGAAGATGTAAAGTTGATTCTCTGTGAATGCCTAAGATCGCGGCCAACAGGCTCAGTGCCTGTGCCTGAGCAGTGCGGAGAACCTCACGGCCATCCTGCTTCCAGCACCGAAGACACAAAACATGGATCATTATGGGTCAAACTTGAATGCGCAAAATTGAACGGATTACTACTGACAGTCGTCAATGTGTAGGTTCCATGTTTTGTTTTCAGAAGGGGGGAATGAGGGGGGGGTGGAGGCGCGCAGATTGTAGAAACGCGTGCTTTTCTACACCTCCTCATATGACTATGCCCCAACACCAAAACACCATCGAAAAAACAAAAAAACAAAATGGCAGACACCATGCACAGCTTTGAGACTGGAGGAGAGGTCCCCATGGTGTCTGCCATTTTGTTTTTTTTTGTTTTCTCGAGGTTTTGGCCAGTCTCCCAAAAATGCAAAAACCATCGAAAAACAAAAAAAACAAAATGGCAGACACCATGCACAAATTTGAGACTGGAGGAGAGGTCCATGGTGTCTGCCCTTTTGTTTTTTTCTTAATGGTTTCCTCGAGGTTTTGGCCAGCCTCCCAAAAATGCAAAAGGTTTCTACAGTGGGACATGGGTGAAGAGCAACTTAGTTCAAAATGGTTTCCTGACAAACCATTTCAATATCAATTTCTTCTGTTATCAGTTATTACTGTTATTGTTTAAAAAGATATATGGTTTAATGGGGATTACCAACTATTAAATGATATTGATTAAATTACTATTATGGATTATCAATTATTATGTGTCTGGGCCAATAGGTTCTGAAGATAATGCTACTGACTGGTCAACCATATGATAAGTTATTATGGGGATTAATTAGAGTGCATGATTGGCGAGGGGGCCCCTGCATAGTACCAGGAAATTACAACATGTTTTGGCTTCAGTAGCTCCTCCGTCTTCGCGAGCTCTTGCCCCCTCTGCAGCACCTGCTGCAACTTGACTCCTCCACGTTCATCCAGTGTGATCCCAGCAGCACGCAAATGCTCCCGAGTCGCCTAACGGTTCAATTTCGCAGGGTGGTGCTTTTCTGGTCATGTTCGCAGTTCTTGGACCCTATCAGACTCTTCTGAATGAGGGTGAGTTGCAAAAGGCCTCACAAATCGTCACAAAGTACCACCCAACTTCCGGACCTCGCTGTACAAAATCTGCAAACATTGCTCCTTCGCTTTGCCTCAGCTGAACAGGAACCCCTGCCGAACTGATGCCCGCTGCTCGTGAGGAATCTTGATGCCACATCATGCTGGAATTAACTTAATGGATCTATATCATTAGTGCATATGACAAAGTGAAGCGAAGCAACGCAAACCACCAGTGTTGGTGAGCAAAATCTCTGTGAGTTTCGGCATCTTCAGGGAGGCTAAGACATTGCGCAGCATCTCCTTTGCCACAGACACAGGGTGCTTTCATGGGGGTGCAGGATCCAAGTTGTTTCACCTGCAAAAGGCACGCCGACACATGTTGTATGTGTATGTACGTCTGTCTGCCTGCCTGCCTGCCTGCCTGTCTGTCTGCATGTATGTACGTATGTATGTATGCATACATACATACATTACATTACATTACATTACATGACATGACATGACATTACATTACATTACATTACATAACATACATACATACATACCATACATACCATTACATTACATTACATTACATTACATTGCATTGCATTACATTACATTACAGTACATTGAATTGCCGTACATTACATGACATTACATGCATACATAAATACATCCATCCATGCATACATACATACATACAGACATACATACACGCATACATACATACATTACATTACATTACATTACATTACATTACATTACATTACATTACGTTACATACATACATACCATACATACCATACATACCATTACATTACATTACATTACATTACATTGAATTGCAGTACATTACATTACATTGCATGCATACATACATACATACATACATACGTACACACATGCACATACATATACACACATACACACATACACACACATACACATACATACATACATACATACAATACATTACATTACATTACATTACATTACGTTACATTACATTACATTACATTACATACATACATACCATACATACCATACATACATTACATTACATTACATTACAGTACATTACAGTACATTGAATTGCAGTACATCACATGACATTACATGCATACATAAATACATCCATTACATTACATTACATACCATTACATTACATTACATTACATTCCGTTACATTACATTACATTACATACATCCATGCATGCATGCATGCATACATACATTTCATTTCATTACATTACATTACATTACACTACATTACATTACATACATTACATACATTACATACATACATAATAATACATATGTATATATGTGTGCATGTACATCTACACGTATTTGTCACATGTAGCCATATAGTGATATAATGCGTATCTATCAGGTACGTGCATGTACAATGCACACAAACACATTTTCTCCAGCGATATGCAGCTCTAGACGAACTACACTTCCGCAGCAGCATCCCGTCAGCCAGTCGGAGAAACGCTTGCAGAAAGGAAAAAATCCATAAAAGGAGAAACGGGGGGCTGCAAGATGTGCGGCTAACTTGCTCCTACAACACGGGACTCGATCGAATTGTGAAGGCGGACCCCGCAACTACCGAAACAAAGGAGCAATCAATAAAAGGAGAATGTATCCAGCAGGACATCGGTCCCATGACGCACAGCAAGGTTCGTGACCACTTGTCTCTCACTTGGGAAAGCAATTTAAATAAAGGACAAATTTGACTCTCAGGGATGACCATGGTCTCCCAGCACGCCACTGGTGGCCCCTGCTAGCTGCTCGTTGGTGGATAGGTGTCACTTGGATAAATAAATATATATATATATATAGATATAGATATAGATATAGATATACAAGGTGGGCCAGAGAACCCAAAAGCAAGATGGCACACAGCACGCCTTTTTTTAAAAAAATTGTGGTATGGGCAGCTGTGCGCTGAACTAAATCGACGTAAGATCTTTATTGAAACATCGTGCGCACTGATGGTATCAGAGGCCACAATTCACCACGGCATGCTTCGTCAGCTACGTCTACATTCTTCTAGTCGCTATTTCTGCTAATGTAATTAACTCTATCCCATCTTTCTAGTCGCTATTTATTCCTGGGTTCTCGTTTAGTTGGGGAAGCGAGGATGAAGCGTGGACGGACAAAACACCGTGCGAAATAAAAAAAATAAATGACGGAGGGAGTTGACCAAAAGAGCATGAAAACGAAGATATGAAGATGACAGATGGTGAATGATAATGAAAAATGAGACATGATGAAAGATGGGTAAAGACTTCTCTGTACAAATGCTTCTATGCATAAAAGCTATTGCGTGTAAACGCGTCTGTGCGTAAAAGTTTCTTTGTGTAAAAGTTCCTCTGTGTAGAGGTTTTTTGTGAAAAACTTCTGTGTGTAAAAATTTCTGTGTGTAAAAGTTTCTTTGCGTCAAAGCTTCTGTATGTAAAAGCTTCTGTATGTAAAAGCTTCTGTGTGTAAAAGCTTCTCTGTGCAAAGGTTTTTTGTGTAAAAGCTTCTGTGTGTAAAGCTGCTGTGTGTAAAAGACTTCTCTGTGCAAGCTTCTCTGTGTCAAGTTCTGTGTAAAAGTTTCTTTGTAAAAGTTTCTGTGTAAAGGTTTTTTCGTGTAAAAACTTCTTTGTGTTTCTGTGCGTAAAACCTTTCCTGTGTAAAACTTTTTCTCTGTAAGCGACTCTGTGTGTAAAGTCCTCACTGTGTACAAGCTTCTCTGTGTAAAAGATCCTCCGTGCAAAGCTCCTCTGTGTAAAGCTCCTCAGCGTAAAAGCTGCTCTGTGTAAAACCCGTGCCAACAGCGCCGCATTTTCAGTGCCACTTCCTGCCAGCAGAGCTCTTCCCAAGCTATTTCCCCACCTGTCCGTTCACGCCGATGCAAATCCTATGCTTGGGTTCTCGTTTAGTTTGCTTCGCTGCAAAGGGAGCGAAAACCAAGCATCGACGGACAGAACGCCGTGCTAAATGAAAACCCCTCCAGCAAAGAACTTTTTCCCATGCATGTCCGGCATGTCCCTTTGCACAGCGTTTAGACACCGTTTGAAAAGTCTTTGGCACAGTTTTTCGGGTCCTGAAAAATCCATGCGAACAGCTCTGCTCCTTTAGTCTCGCTCCCTGCCAACGAAGCTATGCATGTCCCATGGCCCAGGGCTTGGAAACTTTGGCAGGTCTTGGGTGCACAATTTTTTCGGAACAATCGTATTGATGAAATTTGTCCTGAAAAACCCGTACCAATAATAGCTCTGCTTCTCAGTATGTCGCTTCCTCTCCCAAAGCTATTTCCCACGATTTCCCATCCGTCCACCCTGTCGTTGCTTCCGTCTCGCTCCCTCCCAACGGAGTTCTCCCCAGTTTCCCGTCCGTCCACCCGCGGCAAAGTAAACTAAACGACAACCCAAGCATCGGAGATGCTGTTAGGAAAAAACATTAAAAAAAAAAACAATCTTAGAATCTGGTAACTTAGGTGCATACATCCATCGGGCCGGAAATGTTTGGGAATCTTAAAATGCGCATCTTCCATTCCTCTCCAAGACCGGGTCATGTTTTCATGCAAACCTCTTGGCGAAATGGAATGCAAAACTCCAAGTGGTTGTTCTCTCATTACATTACATTACATTACATTGCATTGCATTGCATTGCATTGCATTGCATTGCATTGCATTGCATCACATCACATCACATCACATCACCTTACATTACAGCACAGTACATTACAGCACAGTACAATACAGCACAGTACATTACATTACATTACATTGCATTGCATTGCAATATGTGACATTACATTTAGATTGGAGTAGATTACATTACATTAGGTTACCTTACATTAGGTTAGATTAGATTGCATTAGATTAGATCCGTTACATTAAATTACATTAGATTAGACTAGATTGCATTTCATTCGATTACATTAGATTAGGTTAGACCTGCATTTCATTAGATTACATTAGAATCGGTTGGACTGCATTAGATTGGATTGGGTTGCATTACATACATTCACAACACTCACGGTGAATATCATCTTGTATATGCGTGCGCGTGAGCATTCGATCATGTGGTCACAGATGAAACCCAGCGGGATCGCAGCGGGTTTGAGCTCAAGGGGGGGGTCATAGTTCGACATGATTATATAATCATGCCCAACAAGGGGGCCCAAAACCAGTTCGACATGAAAGATCATGGGAGCTGCATCCAGTCTGCCCCCAATTTATTGCTAAAGCAAATCCAACTCCTGCTAGCAAGCTAGCTTTCGTGGTATATGTATATATATATATATACACATTTATATACAGTTTATTCATGTCATTATATGATATGCACATATCTATCTATACATATCTAAGGCCTTATCTGTCATATCCCTTCCGTCCAAGTTTCTGGGTCGCTTTCGGCTGCTTTCAGATTCTTGCGGCTCCATGACAGCAGCTTTGCAGCTGCACCGTTCTTCTGCATCTGTGCCAAGATCTGCAGGAGGAAGTCAACCACTGGATTGAACACAGCTGGCAGCTGGGTGCTGAGATCAGAACCTGCTTGGATGGCGTGGGTTGTGACTCCTGCGCACTGTCGCTTTTCACCGCTGAAGGCTAGTTCTGCGGCCTCTGTTCCCCCCCCGGATCATGGCAAGCATGCTGTCCTCATCTGCTGCCACAGTAAGCATCGGAAGCAGGGTCAATAGTTGCTCTTGAGCACGCCTAGCCAGCCGGAAACGTGGCTTCTGGAGTTAGCTGCAACTTTGGAAGCCCAAAAGTTATCCATAAAATTTGAGTTGGTCTGGAAAATAGGGTAGCCCAAAATCATGCTTGATATGGTTGATCATCATTCCCCTATTCAATCTTCATTTTGGGGTGTTCCCCATTCTTGGAACCGACTTTGACCTTTCCAAACTTCTGTCATGTCTTGAGAAGCGCCTGAGCAACGCACAGCCTTCTTCAGTGTGAAGCAACTGTGGGCTCGACTTCAAGACCGTTTCCAATGGCACCTTCCTAAGCTGTTCCAGTTGCAAGTGTTTCAGAGAGCATTGGGTCAAGTTTGACTTGTCAGCATATGAATACAAGCAACGTAATTATTCACACAAACACCTTGACAGCTCGATCATGAAGTTCCACCAAGTCATAGATAACATTAGAGAACAATAAAACATGTAACAAGAAAGAATGGTCTGAGCTGGGATCTTTGGTATGTTTGCCCCAGCGTTGGGGTGTGCTTCACAGTGGTCTCTTGTGATGTTCCTTTGGCTTCGTTCTGTTTCCATTTGTTGTTGCTCATTGGCTTGGTTCTGCTTTGTTAAGACTTCTCCCATCTTCTCCCTATACTTCTACCATCTTCTACCTGAATCCTTCGCTCAAGTCACTGTGTCTGGGACATCGCCACAGCCCACTGATATTGTCAAGGGCCGCAGGGCCGACCCGTGACTCACATCTTTCACAAGTGCCCTGACTCAGCCGACTACGGCCAGCTGGTTACCAGCTGGTTGATTCATCAGCTCACCTGAGTGCCTGTTCCATTTGTTCCGGCCAAACATGGCCAAACCATTCGATCCATTCGCAAGTTGAGTCAGTTGAGTTGCTATTTTTGCAAACCCTCTTTGGAGCTGACTACCTAGCTATTGAATGCTATCGAACCGAATGTCTCGCTAGGGAACTTAGATATCTTGCAAAGTATATAGTTGAAGAGTTCCGGATCTCACTGTCTCTATTTACAGTTTCGTTTGTCTAAACTTCGGAAGTTTATCTTTGATGGACTTGCATGATTACCTGTGGCACTACGAGTCATGCTAATTCTGGCAAGTGTCTCAAACCTGTCGGGCTGAACTCCCATAGCCGCCAGTTGCTGTTTGCTGTATCTTCCAACATCATCATGCAAATCGATGAGAACCCGAGGGCCACGACCCCTAAAAGCTGTCAACAGTGACCATCCGTACTTCAAGAATTCCTGTGATTCAGAGCTAACACTGCTAAAAAACCCTGTCTGTGTTGTGGATGCATCTCGCTTTGGAGAAGTTTCAGCCTCGTACACGGGCATCTCTGCTGGCAGTAGCAACCAAGTCCCCACAGAGGGAAGCTTTGACCAAGTGCCCTCGAAACGGTGCTTTGCTGACCCCAGCGCCAAGCGCAGGGTCTCAGCATATTCAGAAATGTAATGTGGTCCAAAAATGTGATTGGCCATGCCTTCGATAAAGCCATCTTTTGCAAGGACAGCCATTTCCATGCCGGCAATCATTACGTGCAAAGTACTGCTTGTATCCGGATCCAGCACAACACATGGACAAACATGTTCGCAGTCGCTTACCTTCAGCGCTTTGAACACAGGTGAGGAGGCACCACTCAGCATGGAGCGTACGGGATTGCTGTAGTCGTGTGGATCTTTCGGATTTACAGGAAGGCACGACGGAAGATCCATCTTGTTGATATAACGGCCACATTTTGGCACCACTTCAAGGCAGGCTCTCGCAAATTCCCCATTTCCGACGCGCGGGCATCCCCAAGTTATACAGCGGGCTTCCCAAGTTTTCCTTGAACATGCAAAATCATACGCACATAGTGTAGCCAAAGCACCGCCCAAGCTGTGCCCAGTGATCCTTACAAGTACACTTTGGCCATTCTGGATCCCTTTTTTCCCCAGCTCAGTATCAATATTGTGGAGAATGGCATCTCGCAACGACAAATAGGCTGTCTGAAAACCTTGGTGAACCTTCCCATGGCATCCACCAATGGCTGTAGGGACCAGGAAGGTGTTGGCGTTGGTCGCCCAGTTGGCCACTCGGTCCGTGCCTCGAAAGGCAAGCTCAACGACTGCCACGCAGGGACCTTCGAAGGCCCTGCGTGGACCTCGGACACGTCCAACCACCCTGAAGGCTGCGGTGTCCTTGAAGAGCTTCACCAGTTCGGGTGATGTGCTTTCGAGTTTCCAGTATCCACTGGTGGTATCCACCCCCAAAGCGACGTTCACGCTTTCTGGATCAATCCAGCTCCTAAACAACTCCTCAACCCCCTCATCTCCATCCTTCAGATCACCTTGAATCATTGGGGAGTCAAGGTAAACCCTGGCGGGAGGATCTCAAAAAGTCGTTCATGCCAAAAGCTTTGAATAGCCGGAGACAAAACGAAAACATACAAAACTGCAGTTGGCCATGAAATGCCAAGAATCTATATGAAACAAAAGTTCGCCACAGTTCCTCTCTGAGATACGTGGGTTCTGAAAGTAGCTCCTCACCAAAGTTGCCAGCCATGAGCGCTGCTGTCCCTGAAGTCCCTGCTATGCTCGGAAGCTCCGCATGATGAAGTGCACATCCTTCAAATGGATATAGGCTGGTATAGGTCAAAATATATATATATATATAAGAGATAAGGGCTGCGGATTTTTGCGATGTTTGGTCCCAAACCAACAAGTTTGAGGTGCCCAAAGTGCCCTGATTTGTCTGAACGACTTCAAGGTCCACAGCAACGTGCATTCTCGCCTGCCAGCGAGAAGGATTCGACGGCTCAGTGTCACATGGGTTGGAGAAATCCGTCATAGAAAGTGTAGAAGTCATCGGGGCCAAATGCAGAGTGCACATTTGATTTGCCATTGCTTACTCCCAGGACTTAGAGGGTAGCTGAGAACTCTGACACACCGGCTACTTGAAAAAAGATGAGAGAAGAATAGGAATCTTTGTGACAGGCGAGGCTTATATATGCTGTTGTGTGCTGTTTTCGGACTTGCTCCTAAAAGCTCCAGAATTGCTGCGCACAAGTAGCTAGTCAGCACAAATTCCAAACTCCACAAAACTTCAATCAAAGTACATCAGCTGTCCATCTGGTTAGACTATGTTAGACTCCTGAAGACAATCAATGGCACAAAGAAGTTGCACTATGTCACATCGTGTCACATCGTGTCACTCTTTCAGTAGCTGACTGACACGGAGCGTGGGCCGGGAGCACCTCCATGCCGCATGCCTTACCAAAAGGCTGATGCTCAGCTCATGGAAAATTCACACATTCGGATACTTTCGGCACCTAGACCGGAAGACAGACCAACTGATGCAACATGATGCAACTTGGACCTGGCCTCTCTAAAAATTGGCCGCACGGTAAAATTGTGAGTTGCGCGGGGGCACCTAATTAAACACTAAACATCGTTTCCACGGCTTCCCTGCAAGCCAATGCGACGGCATACATGAAGACATCTTCCTGTGTTGTTCCACGGGCCATGCCATCGTAGATGCGTAGATCTCATAGTCATAACACTTGGCGACATGCCGATTGGACGCAGGACCACTGCTTTTATAGCCACATGATGCAATGAACTTTGGGCAACATGCGTGAAACTGTGGGTGAAAACTGAGTGAAAACATACGGGTACACACAAATCTGAGGGGTGATCCGTGTGGTATTGCAAATTTCCCATACTGCCTTCAAGGCTTTACTTCCAGACTGTTGAAATGACACGTTTGCAGGCAGTTGCTCACTGACCACAATCACTTCAACACCTGACATCTGGTGTCAACTGATCAGCGTTGAAAGAAACTCTGCTACGACCGCTGCACAGCTGCACAGCTGCAGCCGGGCCTGTGCCCGACTGTGGTACACCTTTTGCATCTCTGCCCGCTGCCTGGGAAATCAGGCGTTCCAAGAATGCTGACGGAGGCACTCAGGCACTCAACAGCAGGTGGAGGTTGGCTAAGGTCCAAACTGATCCAAGTATTCCAGGATTGGAGCAAGCAGCTTGGGATCATTCCTGAGACTCATGACATATATAATAGGTGTCGTGCAGCACAGGCTCAATTGTTGGACAATCCGACTGGGGACCGGTGCGAAAGACGCAATCGCACCGTGCCACCCACTTTTATCTGGCAACAAATGGCACCACGTACATGCGTAATTGTATTGCAGCACATCTCACCCCTCAGCCCGACAGATGGCGCATCGGGCACCGGATTGGTTTTTTACAGACCTACTGGCTGCTGGATTTTCAAAGTTCCTTGGAGTAATGACAAATCCCTTGTACACGACCATTGCAACCATAATCGAGAGCTGAAGTCACTGCGATTTTCTTGAATGTGGACATATTGTTCCGGTCACAGCAGGATCAATCACAGCAATCCATCAAAACAGAAGCGCATCGCCTTAGTTTGAAGGATGTAGAGTACCAGCGTCAAGGACGCTAGAGAACAAACCCTTTGCTCTGCAGACTACTCTACACTACCTAGCACTACTTTCTACTACACGACTATCATTCGCCAATAGGAACCTGGCAGAACTGGTTGGTTTGAGAAGACAACCCCCCCAAAAAAAAAGCAAGAAGGAGTGAGAGGGGAGTGCAAGAAAAAGAGAAAAACATACAAAAATGAGAGAAGTATAAAGTATATAAATAAATAACAGTGAGAAAGCAAAGGAGCAAAAAGAGAAAAGGAACAAACAGACCAAACAATCCGATCCGGGAGCAACAAATTGCGCACCAACTCCATACAGAGAAGCAACAGGCCGACGATTGCAGGACAGCGAAGGACAAAGGAGCATCAACCGAGACCACCCGAAACCAAGAAGAATCATGAACAATACAACGCCAATTGCAAAAAATGGATGCAAAGTCACAATTTGAAAATGTCTATAGTATAGATATAAAAATGATGAATATCAATATGAACTTAGCCTTTTCCTGTCTTGTCTACCGTGAATCTAAACCATCTTCGGGTTTCCCTGCACCTCGCGAAGAATTCGCTGTATGTCGTACTTTTGTTGCGCAACCAGCCTTGCGCAGCAGTCTTTCTGACTAAAAAAATCTGCTGATCTGCTGGTTGTTGAGAGTTCTTTAGCTCAAGGCCATCAAGCAGCTGAGGGTTTCCCTAATTTCCCTATCAAAATTTCACGCTTGACAGGCTTAGGATGTGGCGAGTAGGCTTCATGTCTTCCAACCTAATGACGAGCCATGCACAGATTGAGCTGAGGAAAATTGGAACAGATGCTACAATTATCTCTCTATTGTTCACATGCTCAAGTGCTCCAACAAAAGCTTCCAAAACTCAGGTCCCGAGCAGTCCGACCACACTCGTCTTGCGTCTCAATACAATCTACGCCTGGGCACATCCCAGTCCCATTTCCCACATGCAGTGCATCAAGTGGATGTTGCGGCTGTCGATTTGGCCGCGAACAGGCTGGCTCGTCCGGCTCCAACCGGCACTCCAGCACCACCTGACACGGCAACACCAGAATTGCCACATGTAACGACAAGTCTGATGACAAATCTGATAGTACTGACATGTACTGACCAAGTACTGACAGTACTGAAACATGGAATGTCAAGAAATGCCAAGAAAATCCAAGAAATATCAAGAAAATCTGTTGCCCAAGGGTCGGACTCTGACAATTGAGAACCAATCCGGGCATCTCTGAAGGGCAGAATCCACAGCATTGCCTGAGTCTTGCGTGGCACTCTCAACGCAAGCGGGAATCTGTCGGCAAGGCATAGCCAACTCTGTTGGCAACACGGCAGCAAAGTGTAGGAGCTGAGCTTGGAATCTTCAGCGATCGTATGAGGTTGGGATCCTCCACTCAGGAAATACCAAGAATATTCAAGAATGGCAAAATGTATGCGTTGCAAACTTTTGCCAGGCACACCACGGACATCCGTCTCCTCTTGTGAGTTTGCTGCAGCTCTGTTGCATGCTATTTCAGCATCCTGGTCGAAGCGGCCACCAAGCTCTCAAGAAAGCCACTGAGAGGTGACCCAAATTGACCCAATTTGCAAGAATTCCTCACCAAGAGGTTGCCCGATTGTGCCCGCTTCCCACAAGTGAGTTCGATGCGGCTTTCGAAAGTGGCCTGGCTGCGAAGGTGCATTGGAGCTCGCCTGCAGCAATTTAGGTAATGCTTTCCAGTGCCGGTTTTGTAGTGGTGCAAAACTCAGGTTGTGGCTCGAAAACCCACATCTCACGGACCCCAAATCTCAGTACCTTTGGCAAGTGCAATATGAGTACAATATTGAATAAATTCAAACATCAAATAATATAAAATAATGTCAATAGTCATCGATAGGCTTCAGATGGCTTCGGGCATTGCACTGAGGACCCTGAAACATCCGGAAACAGTGGGGAGTTTCCACCGCAGGGCACGCTGCCGGTTTGAAGAGCAGTGCCTTGTGGGCGACTGGTGCACTGGATTTCACGCGTTCTGAAGATTTGCATCCAGGATTTTCTGAGTTTTATCATCCATATGTGATCATAGGTGTAGCATTTGTATCCTCAATATGCCACTCAATATATCCCAAAGATTCCAAATGATTCCAAAAGCAAATGACTTGTTTGGTTTTTTCTCGGTGTTTTCTCTGTTTTCTTTGACCAGGATGTGGGAAGACCCCAGATCTGCCGCGCCTAGAACCGGATCAACCGCCTCGCCGTCCACAGTGGTTCCGCCGCCACTGTGGCCACCACCCGGGCCCATCCCAGCACCGCCATCAGCTCCCTGCACCGGTCATGACGGTCATGGCGTTGTGTTTGTTGTGTTTGTCATGTGGTATTGACATTATGTCACTGGAATGGTAAGAAAAGTTGCTGTATAAATCTGTATAAGACATAATAATGACAAAAGGTAAGACTGGTTGTTTTGAATTGCAATGATGATAGACCACTAATTGGGGATTGATGAAATCCGAGCCATTTCTCACACAATCTGGGACGGCTGGGATGCGTTGCTAATTACATACCCCATTAATTCCAATCAACTTCTAGTCCAGTCCGGTGGAGAGTTCCTTCCCATAAAACAATTTCTGGCATCATTTTATCTCCCACTGCCTTCTCATCATATAGTCTTGCCAGCCAGGTGTTAGGATCAGGCCCTCTCCAGCACTTGACGATGGCATGAAGCCGCGACACCTAATGGCACTTGAAGCAAACACCCATGAAATCTGTGAGGATCCAAGGGAGGTGAAAGCCGTGAATTCAAGAATGTTCCTACAATGATAGCGAATCATCTGCGGATAGCCAATCATCAATCTATGACAATCTATGATGATCCATGCCACATCCTGAAGCATTAAGTTTGATGCATCACAGTTCCCAGGAGAGTCCAACACGAGGTCGATCTGCAGCAATGTCCAACACTCTTCATACTTCATACCAACACTGGCTGTGCTTTCGGTCTGTTGCTATGCATTTGTTCCTGGCTGAATTGCCCCCTACCGCTTCAACATTTCCCCTGCCTTGTCTTCAAGCATTCGCCGGCTTCGACCTAAAACAAAATCAAAGCTGAGACCAATACATCAGTCCTCTCTTTCCTAAGGTCCTAGGTGCCGAGGGAGCGACCTATCCTTGTGTAGGCCACCAGCCGGTGCCTGGATGTGAAATGCGTTTAGTGCTGAGCCCCTGGATCAAAATGATCAAACATCTGACCCTGCGCTTGAATTGTAAAATTGGGGAGCACACGTTCGTCCGCTATCCATGCCTGAGATCTTGGCTCAAAAGGCAAATACCAGTGGAATCTCTGCGTTTCCCAAAGTTTCCCTGCTGAGGTCGATTCTTCTCATCTGGAATGGTGCAGGCTCACGATCCTGAGCCAAAATGAGCCAAAGCTCGGGCTTTCCACAATCTTCCACTCACTTTGGCACGGAGTAACAAAATCCATCTGGCATCTACAGGTATCTCACACACAGAGATAGAGAGATAGAGAGATAGATAGATAGGTAGATAGATAGATGGATAGATGGATAGATGGATAGATAGATCGATGAATGGATCGATGAATGGATGGATGGATGGATGGACCGATGGATAGATGCATAGATGGATCAATGGACAAATAGATCCGATATGTCCGATATTTTCTGACTCTGTTATGCAGACTGGTCCGCCGCCATATCCACCACACAGTTCCACCCAAACACATCCCGTGCCAAACATCTTTTGATGGTCAAGTTTACATGCTGCCAAGCCGCTCGAGGTCCTGATAGGCTTTTTGTTCAGCGCAAGGGCTAAAAATCACCATGAAACCGCAATGCGAACAAAAACCAGGTATGGGTCAAAGTTGTCAAAAATTGTACCCCCCAAAACTCGATGGTTCAAAACATGGTAATCCTGAAAGTGACCTGTTTACCGGGTTCTTTTTGGTTTTTGATTTTGACCCAGTCCCATGTACAGCGGTTGGCATCGGGCGTTGTTCTGTTTATCCTCGCCTACATGCCCACCAGGGTCAATCACCTCCTCGTCAATTTCTGGCACCGCAATGTCTATGCGAACATGCCTCGGCCAAGTGCAGGTGCCAATGGATCAACATGGATCAACAATACCTCCACCTGCATCGCCTGCATCGCCTGCATCGCCTGCATCCATCTGCCATAGCAAAAAGCTGCTGCAAGTTGCCAGAAACTTACAGCACTTAGATTTGCTTGAATGTCCGGCAAAGTCTCCGGCAGCGTGCCCTCACCTAAGCTGATCTCGCCTGCAGCGCGAGGTTCCCTTCCAATGCTTAATAAAGGAACATTAACAAACAAAGCCGTTGGTGTGCTGCCACGACTAACCACGACTTGCCTTCAAAACCATCTGGATGGAAGTCGCTGCTCTGCAACAAAGCTTGTCCAAGATTGTCATCATCATCTGGCAAAGGTCGGCCGTTGGCACAGCACTGCAGAACCCTGCAGAACACAAACGTTTCTGTAAACTTGGATCAGAGATTGGATGGCTTAGCAACTCCTGCAGGCCCATTAAGATTGCACTATCAATTGACTATCTATCACTATCAGCCCCCGACTCTTCAGCTGTTTTGTCTCTCTTCGACCGGCCAGCACAGCCTTTCTCATCGTAGTCCAGCACCTGGAACTTCAGAGGGTCCCCTGGCTCATAGCCAATCACGTCTTCCTGCCAGACACGCGCATATTGCCCTCACCCCTCGCAAACCACAAACCACGAGCTCCCTGCATTTCCCACACATTTGAACCGCTTGAACACTTGGTCATGCTTGAACTTTCACTCCTCCTCATCCCAGGTAGGATTCAATTCCTGGTGCTGTTGCTAGCAAACACGGGGCAGTTATGTTGGAAGTCATATCCACAAAAATAAAAGGCAGCGATCAAAACATGTCAGAACCGGATTCTGAAAAAAGGCCTTGAACATAACCCTCGTTCTCCATGCAGAATGTTTCTTGCCGGGAATGTTCACCTGCAAACGAAAACAACTCCATGGACTGCCAGACCAAAAGCACTCTACAGTGAGTACTAGCAACATCTAGCAACGATGTGCTGTAGAAATTGAAGCTACACTAAGAAGCCGGCAATGCAATACGGATCTGACTTGCCGCCGAACAAACTCCAATCCGCCGAACGCAAGCCCTGCAACGTGAGGCCGACGGCAGCTATCAGCTATCCGGCTATCCGTGGCACCATGCTGGCACCATCTGGCACCTCAGCCTTGTACACCGTCACGAAACATCTGGTATCTGGAACTGGCGTTTCTATGAGCCTTGGTCAGACTTCCACAATAGGCAATTGAATCTGACCACGCGCACACTAGATGTCCGAGGAGACAACTCAGGAATCACCTGGCAGGAAGGAATCGGGAAATGCATGGAAATGGCAAAGTAAAAGCAAGGTTAGGAAGAAAAACACCCAAAACAAAGTCGCGCCTTGAGCCGCAAAGTGGCAATCTTGCCATCTTTTCGTGCAGGATCTGACAGCTCCTCACCAATTCAATTCTCCTTGATATCCTTGATTAGAATGCTGTGATGGAATTGAAGCCACCCCAAAGTCAATCACTCTCAGGCATACACAAGGGTATCATCAACCCCACCAGGGTAAATCCTTGGGACAGGTGTCACGCAGCAGCATCTGACTCATTATTCTTCCTTGCTGAGTGCCCCACTGGTCGAATGTCAGCTCCAGGTTGCCTCAGCCAAAAAGAAACGATGCATGGTTCCATCATGAAGGGCCCCCAAATCCCCGAACTACACAGCAGCATGTCTGTCGTATCATAGCATACCCACGGCTCCCAACCCCGAATTCGAAAAAACAAAAACATATCACCTGTCACCTTGCTCATTCTCAGGTCTCCACCCAGAAGATCGTCAGACCTCGTCGCAAGGGAGAAGGTAGGGTCAAGGAGACTGGTTGATCTTTGGCTAGCCACCTAAATGCTGAGGAAAGCACCCAATGGTATCGTAGTCCATGACTTGGAACTCCAGTGTGTCCGTCGCTTTCTCAGTAGAGCAAACATGACCACTGACCACACATCAACATGGATCTTCCAGACTCTCGACTCGGGCGCAGCTGAGAATGGTGCCATGCAAGGCATCTCACACTCAAATTTCCAAGTGGGGTCCAACCTGGAAGATCAGCAAAAGGCGCTTTCCTCTTTGGGCTTGCTCTGCAACTGCTCAGACTATGTGGAAGATTGCAGGTGCACTAGCATACTATCCAGCTTTGGCAGCAAAGTGCGTCTGCGATTTTTCCCGCGTTCTCTTGTCACTGCCATCTTTGTGGAATTTGTCCTCCTGTTGCCTGAGGCTTTAAACGGAGCGCCAAAAGCGGCACAGCACAGCAGCTGAACAAAGCACAAGGAGAGGCCCCGACGAACAGATCGATCCAGTGGGACTATTTCCTCAAAGGCTGCCCTTCCTTCAGCCGCTTCATAGCTTCTCCTGCTATCATGTCTGACATGTCTGATGCACTGATGCAGGTGCAGCACATCAAAGCGAACCTAACAAAGACTGATAGGCTTTGTTCCGGTGGCCTGACTGTCCTTTCCTCAGGAGTAAAAAGGATAACCTCAGCATGCCAGTGACAAGATTTGGTATTTTGCATGTATCTCCCGGCGCCATCCCGTGTGCACATCCGTTGAGTCAGGGCACGTCTTCAGCGGCAGCAATGCCTTTGGCTGAACTTGCAACGCCTTTTCGCACACCCTCTGCCCTTCCTGGCGGTTGTATATTCTTTGCAACTGACGAAATTTCATGGCCATGCTTTGACAACAAACTGCTACAAGTCTTGTCCAAGCAGTCCTCGAAGGCTTGATCATGCACAAGTGCACCCTCAGCCAAGCACAGCTTCACAAGTTGTCGCTGAACTACGACTCCCTCCCAGAACTGGATACAGAAATACTGAAAACATGTCAAAACCAAAGACCATGCTTCCTGTGGTCAAGCTATTAATCGGAAACAAAAACCCATTAATCGGAAACAAAAACCCATTAATCAGAAACAAAACCCCATGAATCGGAAACCAAAACCCGTTAATCGGAAACTAAAACCTGTTAATCGGAAACCAAAAGAATCGGAACCCAAAACCCGTGAATCGAAAACTAAGAACCTTGAACCGTAAACCAAAACCCCGGAATCGGCAACCACAGCTGAATCGTAAACTAAAGCAGGTGAATCGGAAACTAAAGCAGGTGAATCGGAAACAAAAACCCGTGAATTGGAAACTAAACCAGCTGAATCAATCAGAATGGGCAACTTTTCTCCTGCAATTGGAAAGAGATCATATTCGGTTCAAAATAATGGCCAGAGGGGGTGGAGGAATTGATTTCTTATGAAGATAAGTTGAAGGTAATACCTCATTCAAAATAATGGTCAGAGGGGGTGCCGGATTTGATTTCTTATGAAGATAAGTTGAAGGTAATATCTCATTCAACATAATGGCCAGAGGGGGTGGCGATTTGATTTCTTAGGAAGATAAGTTGAAGGTAATGTCTCATTCAACATAGTGTTCAGAGGGGGTGGCGGGTTTGGTTTCTGATTCGCTTTCTTTGGTTTCTGATTCGTGGGCTTGTTTGGTTTCTGATTTGCGGATCTTGGCGTCTGATTCGCAATTTTTAGTTTCTGATTCTCAGTTTCTGATTCGCGGGGTTTTGTATCTGATTCCTGTATTTTAGTTTCTGATTCGCGGGTTTTAGTTTCTGATTCTTTGTTGCTGATTCGAGGGAAGTTTCTGATTCGAGGTTTGTTCTGCTTCCTGTAAATCTCGCATACAGTAAACAAATTCAATCTAATAGCCAATGACTGAAGTCACTTATCCTGGATCCCTGCAGCCCCGCAAAGCACCCTCTCAAGGTCAAGATGTGTCCAAACACTGCTGATACTGTACCTCGTAAGCATCTCACGGCCCTGTAGTTTCCAAATCCCTCATCATTCCTGCCAAGATGCAGCCAGATTTGTCTGCATCATGCACCTGACAGAATCTGTCCAAGGACTGGGATTCTATGCACTGGTACCGTTGAAGTATTCTTCCACTCCACACAAGCTCAGCTGCTCCCAAACCTACACCCACAAGAGCAGGTGTGTTTCTTCACTAAGTCTGCTGAAGTACAAAGTGCAAACAAAAATTGAACAGCGTTTCAACTGTTTGGACTTTAGCCGTCTAGATCTTGGAAGTGTTCGCCAATCAAAGCCAGGCACTGCATGTCCCCAAGGACCGGGAAAGAAGTGCTTTCATAGGTCACCAGGGCAGTGAAGGCTCCATCCTGTCACACTGATTCCGAGAAAATCCATCGAATCATGATGAACAAATATATCTATGTCTATATATATATACACACACACATATATATATATTTATACGTATACATATCTGTATGTGTGTGTCTGAATCAGCGTGGTTGGGCCTTTATTTCTGTCCATTTTCCCAGATGCTTCTGTGAATAATTGCCCTACGAACGACCTGTCCCAACACACGTGCCCCGTCTTTGTGTTAGGGTTTTGTGTGCAGCACACAGGGCAGGCAAAAGGGTGGGTGAGGAAGTGGCGTGAAGTTTGCATGTTGAGTGATATAGACGAGCACTGCTCTGAATGAGCCCGAGCCCAAATCCCAAGATATGGTCCTGTGTCTTCGCCTTCTCTCTCTCGTTCTCTCCCTTGGCATCACGATCCCGTCCCTGGCAGGACACGGCGATTCAAAAACACAATCGTGTCCTTGAGCTTGTGCCACATTCCACTGTTCTCAAACAAATTCGCCTGGTGTGTGGCTGCAGCAGACCAGATTAAGTAGGTTGGTGGCGTCAACCCGCCCATGGATGTGATTGGTGGTAGGCCGCCACCTCACAAATGTATGGAACGCCGGACAGGTCCATTCTTTGAAATGCCTGCAAGTGCCTGCACGGTTTGCCAACCATTATAGAGGAGAAAGTACCAAAAGAAAGCAGCCACAGCTGCGCTTCGGAAGACAGACATAAGACCAACCCACTGAGACAGAAGCAGCCTAGCCTCAAACACAACACAGGGAATGCTAAAGGAACAGAGCAGCCACAGAAGCGGACACAGGGACTGCGGAAGGGGCCAAAGGGTGTGGACAATGCAAAGTTGCGGCCAAGCTACCGCATGCCTGTGCAGGGCATCCTGTCAAAATTGCATCATGAAAGTTGAGGGGCAACAATGGAGAAAACATGATAAAACCCAGTTGCTTTGCGCAAATATGAGCCCGTTGCCTTCGAAAAGACCATCGTCTTTCTTGTCAACTCTCTCGTGCAGGATGGGCACAGTTGCATGGTGAAGCAGTGTCTTCTCCTGCTCTTGGACGTAAGAGGCCTGCAGCCAAGCAGAAATGAAACTGGAAAACTCTCGTTCCTCTCTGGTCCACTCTGCTCCACTCTCCATCACCACATTCTGGCAGCTGCAGGCAGCTGCAAGTCAGTGGAGCCTGCAGCTGCAAACCTTTCCCGAGTGACTTTTCGCCGAATGTCTGCATCACTTGTCGGGCCTTCCGATACGCAGTCAGGTGTTAAGTATGGCAACGCCAAGGAAAATGAGGAGAATTTGAAAGTTTGGGATCTGCCAATCTGCCTCAGTCACTCTGCCACCCATCAACAAGGCCTCGGGAGGTGAGTCAGCTTGAGGTCAAACAAGTTTTTCAAAAAGGCATTTCAGTTCATGCAGCTTCCAAACATTCCAATAACTTGGATGCCAAGGTAAGAAGCAGACCTCCGAAAGATAGCAAACCGCGGAAGCTATGCTTCCCATGGAAGAAGGCCATTTGACCGGTGATGCTTGCTTGTCTTTGGAGTGCGGCAGGTTGTGAGACTGGCAGATTTTTACGGTCACCAGGATGAAATGCCATCAATATCATCAATAGAAGCATCTCAAAACAGCATCGGTGCCTGGAAGGTCCAACTTTTCTTTAACTCTTCCTTAGCCATGAGAACTAACAAAGAAGCCGAGAGCACTGAGATTCACAATGCGTGTCTATATTAATGTATACATGTCTATACCGCATATCAAATTCTGCACTCAGAGTAGAGTGCATGAAAAAATCGCAGCTGAGAAATCTCACACGAGTGCAGGCAGGCTTCGAGCGCAGCTTCGTTTAATGGCATCCGCGAGGTGTGATCTCCATTGCTTTCTGGAAGCAAGTTGTTCTTCTCCTGATTCCAACCAGATGCACTGCAAAAGAAAAAACGTGAATGAATCCGTATGTCGTTTATGATAGGCGTGCCAAGTTGCCAAAAGCCGCTTGCTGTAACGCAGAGCTGGTACATGATCACGCTGACCTCAAAGCAACATGCAGGAGGTTAGCACCTCTAAGATGTAGGAGCATTCATGATATCCTGCAGGATCTTGCAGGACATTCCGGTGCGAGCACAGTTTCAGATGTGCACGTAACATGGTGTAAAACATCGAAGTGCTCCTTCTTACCTGTTTTTCTCGCTGCTTGTTTGATTGCTTCCGACCCTTCACTCAACCAACTACTCGTTGACTCAGTTTCTCCAACCCAGTCACTCTTCTTAACCCATTCACTAAATCACTCGCGGAACCACTCAACCACCTATGTCTGCAACCCAGTCAGGCTCACATTAATCACTCATGCACTCAAACAAACACGCAGCCAACTACTAGGCCAACTACACAAGCTTTCACTCACTCCCGAATTGACTCGATTCACGCCCCTCACAGCAAGCACGCATCCACCTCAACCCGCACACACAGGTGCTTCCTGCAGGCCTCTCCCCCTTCGCACCGCCTTTCGTTTCCAAATCCACCCTATGTGCTAAATCACGTCCTACAAATGTTCCTGGCAGAACCTTGGCCCATCCATCACAATGTAATCTGAGGCAAAGGTAGCAGACCCGCAATGCAGCAAAATTACAGTACACATGCCATAAATTCACCTTATAAACTTATAAATGTATGCGCAAACGCTCCAACACAATCAAGTCTGAACCCTGAGCATTGTCACCATATCATACAAAACCGGGTCTGTTACATTGCATTGCATAGCTCCCTGACGGACCGGGAGAGCCACTTTCCATCCTCTACCCAATTTACCTATATATCCTATATATATATAAGAATTCAGAATTTCAAAATGTTTCAAAATGTTTTAACCCTTGTCTCCCTCCGCAAACCTGCTGCCTCCACGCATTTGGCACATGGGCTCGAGACACCTTCCACAATTCCTCTGGTGGCCAAGGCAGCCAAGGCACACAAACAAACCCATGCCAGTTTCAGCAGGGCTGCATCTTCAAGCAGGTTCGCTTCCATCTCAGCCTGAAAAGGCAACCAGTGCAATGTGGTGAAAGCATGTGAAAGCAATAGCTAGACCATTGGCGGGGCCCGGGGCCTTTTCTCAATTTCCCAACACGAACATGGAAGGCGGGAGAAGCAACAATCGAAGACTGTCTCTCTCCAGCCTGTTCTTGGTTCACCAGGACACGTGTGAAAAGTCTCTCTACCCCACCCCCACATGAATCGCTGAGCCCACTGCCATGTCTCCAGGGCCAGGCTTTGAACTTAGGGATTGGCGAGAAGCTCCGTCTGTGTCAGCACGGAGCGTGGGCTCAACAAGGATCAATACATTCTTCAAGCACATGGCTGCAGCCACCAAGGGGTCAGCCACCACCTCATCTGCACGACCTTGCGGTGCTGGTGCAGCACCCGCAGGACCTGTTCTCTCCACATCTTCTCCTGACATCTTTCCCACCATGTTGCTCTTGTCCATCATCATCAGCACCCGGCGATGGATGCCAAAGCCCTGAGCCCCGCAAGCCAACTTGGAGAGCCCTGATCCAACAGCGGTTGGCCCCAAGGACCCACAGAGGGAACCTCCGGTGGGGATGAGGCCATTGGTGGATTTGCCGCGATTCCATGACTGAAAGGTGCCATTTTGTGCATCTTTGTCACCTGACTTGTGAGACTGCCGATGGAGTTCAATGCAGCATTCGGCGATCCGAATCCACAACCTGGGCCAATTGCGGAAGACCGGAACGCATTGTTCAAAGCACTTGGATGCCTGAGATGATCGGCCGGTCAGCAAGAACTGCAGCCCCACATTGAAAGTGATCTCAGCCCGTCGGTCCAGCCAGTGCATGGAGGCTGCATGGCCCGGCTCGGCCAACCCCGTTCGGGCCGAGAGGAGCATCGATTTGTCTCCAGCCTTTGCTTGGCCGGAATGCGGTGGCAAGGCGATCGATTTTGACAGCGCCTTGCTGAAGTAATATGCAGCCAGATTTGGCTTGTGCATCATGAAGTGCACACAGCCCATGTTGTTGAAGAACAACGGAGAGCATGCGTCATCCTGTGCTGGATGAAAATCAGCAGGGATATGATCATCCACGTCATCATCGACGCCTTTGTGGGCATCCCCAGCAGCGGCAAAGTGAAATCGACAAAGAGACATGAACTTCAGGGCTTTGCGGAAATTGCCCTTGGCATATTCCAAGTAAGCTTTCAGCATCGTCACCTTGGCCCTCTCATGTGAGGTCAGCATTTGCCTCACAGCATCTTTCTGCATATCTTCAGAGGCATCAGTCAACGAATGAGGCCAAAGGAGCGGTACCGAACTCAACTCGTGCTCCAAGAGATCCATGGCCCTCTTGCACTCCTTCTTGGCTGAGCTCAGATTTCTGGTTGCCAGGTGCATGCGGACACGATAGACCAAACAGTTGAACTTGAACTCAGCCGGGGAGATGACGTCCGGAGCTCGTCCATGTCTTGTCAAGAAAGCACCAAAGACGAGGCTAGGCAAAGGCCCTTTCACATCTTGTTTCTCAGGCTTCCCGACATCCACGGTTTCTGCCACGGCTACTGGCTCTTCTTTGGGCTCTTTGGGCTCTTCATCAGCATGGCCGGCATGGCCTTCATCTCCTTCCTCCTCTTCCTCCATGCGCGGAGCCTCCAAGCTTTTGGGACGTTCAGGGCGTTCTTGCTTCAGCAAGCTGTGGAAGGCATTGGGCTTCTCAAGGACTGTCAAGACCTGCCCCCCTTGCTCTGGCTCACGCTGCAAGAGGCAAAGTTCAAGGAGAAGGAAGCAAATCTTGATGGCCAGAAAGTCGTCGATGGGCTCTATGTTGTCAAAAAGCTCCTCAAGGATGTGACGTGCCTGAGGGTAGTTTCGGAGTTGCACGCAAAGGAGTGCCTGATTGTATCTCAGCACATACAGGTCGTCATCCTCCCTTAGTGCATCCTCTTCGTCTTCCTCCTTTTTGCGCCTGCCCTTGTCTTTCTTTTCTTGCTCCCGGGCACGATCATAATGAGCAGTCAATTTGCTCAGAAGATCTTGCGGGTCACCACAGCCACTTGCATAGTATGCATTCATTGCTACGTTGTGGGCAACTTTCACATCACCTCCACCGCCAGTCTTCTGACTTTGGACCTGCTCCAATTGTTTCTGGCATTGCTGATGCTCTCCTCTGCGGTAAGCTTCAAACGCGTCCCGGGCAACACCTATCGTAGTGGACATGGCGCTACGGATGGTAAGTCCAATTCGGCAAAAACGTTTGCAGAAACTTCGAAGATTCTCACACGCGATGTCATGTGCAATGCTTCAAGAGTTGAACATGTGCTGATTCATCTGCATCCATTATTTGTGAGCCATTCACCCTTTCAGAGCTGAGAAATGTTGCAAATATCATGCATAAAGTCCCCCAATTCAGGAGAAAGGCAATTTTCTACGGTAATCATCTCTAAACAGACAAACTCTCAGCAAATACATGCAAATACTGTACCCACTGTATCCCACTGTACCCATCCTCATCTCCCCCTGCCCCTCCGAGATCAGAGCGTCTTCATGACAGTTTGCGTCCTCACATCTGTCTCAGGCCGCCTGAGCTCGTCAACCAAAGGTTGGACACGGATCCCTCGGATCCTGAAGATTGGACTCATCTGGACCCTTCCTGGCTAAGCACATCTAAGCACGCAACCCGGCTAGTTTGCAAATACAATATGGATCTGACCTCAGTTGCACACCCAGCAAGATCAACATGAAAGTCTATTAAAACTGCTGCACTGCTGCACTGCTGCACCACAACAGGGTCAAAGAATTGGGAATTATGCGTTTCTTCTCGGGAGGTGTTTATTTTTTTTGCGGAAAGGATTCTTTTCAGAGACCCCGGACTTACTTTGGCCAATCAGGGATAGGTCTGCAGGTCGAAGGTTGTTTGCACCTTGGTGGGCGCACCATTCGTCCCTTTCTCAAACTTGCGGGATCTTGCGGGCAATCTTCACAGGTTCACAGCTTCACACGGATGATGCTGATCTTCACTCGAAACTTGGCCTCCGCAACAGCTCTGGGCATCGTTCACGCGGTGCGAACACGATCGAACAAGCAGCAGTCAGAGGGAATAAGATCAGGGCAGCCCGAGGAAGCGATTCCCTGCCAAAGTCGCGCGTCTGTTCCGAAGTCATGCGCCAAGATTCCCATAAACATTATAGATGCATATAGGGTGTGTATATATATATTATATATATAATATGCTTGTTCAAGGCGGCAGGGCAATGCAAAGTCTCAGATTCTCGCATTGATCTGGATGTGCCAAAAGGGTATCCTGGCAATCGGAGTGCGGAAAGGGCTTTAAAAATATCAGAAACTTGCCCCTAAGCATTGCGGCTGCATCACATCTTGTATGCAAACAGCATCACACAGAAGAGAGTCCTGGAAAGGAAGAACCAACCCAGCTGGGGCATGCAAGGCAAAACTACGAACTGAGACGTGAAACTGCAAAAGGTGAGGTTGAATAGCAACAGCAGAAGCTTCTGAGTGCCACATGCACATGGATTTCACACCTCTGTCAAGCGTATCAAATATGAACAGCAGGATGTTTCCGGGCAGCTTTTTCTGGCAGTGTCAAGTCCAGCCCCAGATTTTCCAAAGGCTGAGGATGGCATACAGTTAGAATTGCTGTCAGCTCATTCGCCAAATAGCTGGCAAGATGATCATGCCTCAAAGTTACGATTTAGCGCAAGGCAATGGAACCCCATCCCGGCCTATCCCACTACAATGGCTCAGTCACCAGAAAAACTCTGATTGAAAGAGTCAAATGCGCCACGAGGATGGCACCCTGCACATGCTGCCATATCAGCAGCGGTCATGCCATAGACCTGATATCATTGCAAAATTGCTCAGGTGTGGAGGTCCAAGTGAACAGCAGCAAAGAATAGCATGGGCAGCATGGGCCAATGGGTCTATCTACACTCTACACATTGTCTGCTGAGAACGCCCGCATCTTTTGCTTCCAAGAGATTCTTGCGAGCTGCAAAGCATCGCAGAATTTCAGTACCTTAACAAACTCAACAGCTTGTGCAACGGCTGAAGGAATAGCAAGATAGACTGAGTCCATGACAAGCAGCGGCATGGCCACGCATTGCGGCAAGATGCAGCACTGTGTGCCTGTTCCGGTTCATGGCCATGACAGCAGAGCCTCAGATAGCACTGGCAGATGGGCTCAGTCTTTTTGCAAACGATTTTGTGGCCGAGTCGTGGCGGCGAGAACTGTTTGGACAAAATGTTCCATCAACACGTACAGTGGGTTGTCACCAAAATATGAAGCACAAATGACACTCAACGCAGCAGTATAGTGTTTAAGTTTAAGTGTATGTTCTCTACTCTCCTTGTTGTAAAGTCGGCGGCCAGTACACAAACACAAGAACAAAACCCAGAGTGGTGACACCAAGCTGAGGGCCCTTTGATTCCAAGCTTTTATATTTTTTTTTTCCTCTAGACATTCTCATCTTGCGGCGGTGGTCCCCAAATGTACTCCATCACAGATGTATCTCGGGGCTTGAAGCGCTCCACTGGGTATTCTGTGAAGCCGCTGAGCTCGACCAACTCTGACAGGTCACGGCCTCCCAAATATTTCTCTCCATTGATGATCCATGTGGGGTAATTCTCTATTTCCTGATCTCGGCAGATAGGAAGCTGTCGTCGATTCTTGGAGGAGCATTCTACAAAGGGCGCTACCTCCACAGCCTCTTTGCCAAAGGACTCGCGCTGCTCCTGACAGTGAGGGCACCACCAAGCTGTGTAGCACGCTGCTCCAATCTTCTTGAGATGTCTGGCCAAAGCCATCTCTTCCTTGGAGGAGGAGCTTCGCACCGGGGGATGATTTGGCTTGTACTGTTCCACCAAGGTGAAGTACGCCCAGGCAGATGCGAACTCCCTGGATGGGAGGGTGCCAGCACGCAATGAGCCCAAAGCCAACACACCTGAAAGTGCCAGCACAGCTCGTCGTGGTTCAACTGAATTCGCTGAACCAGCCGAATGGTCAGAGGCTATTTGTACTTCATTATGTTTAGCTACAGCTACACCAACTGCAACTTCTTCTGCAGATACTGCAGGCGCTGCAGACACTGCAGACACTGCAGACACCGCAGCCGCAGCCTCCACGGCCTCAAGTTCTGCCACCTCTTCCCGAGCACATTTGGTTTCAACAAGTGCAACCAGCATCGCGGTAATGAAGGCTGAAGCTGCGCAGTAGAGACATGGCGCTTTTAGGACAAAAATCAGAATCGCCGTGAGACCAAGCGATGTTAAAGCCATCGCGAAGCATAGCCACCACAGCAGTTCTTTCAGTTCCTTGCTTCCTTGACTACTGAAATTCAGCGCCACAACACTAAGGTATGCGAGCAATCCCAAGACCGACAGAGGCACAGGACCAATGGATGCAAAACTGGAATTCAAGACCTCAGTGCATGAACCACTGGAAGGGCATGCCAAGGGCACTTGTGACACCTTCGCGTATGTCAAGTACGCTGTATCCAACGCGCCCAGGCCCGCAACAGCACTCACAGGCCACTGCAAAGCCATGCTGTGCTCCCACCGTAAAATATCTATAAGTAAAAAAGAAAAGAATTGGTTCGCACTGCAAGCTGCGAACACCTAAGCCAAATTTGTGCCACGGTTTCACTATCACCTCACGAACCTGCATATAAGGCGCAAGGATGCGCAAGGGCCACAAGAGCTAAATACATCATGTTGAGAGCTGGGGTCGGAACTATCCCTCCGGAGCAGCAGCGAGCACCTTGACCATAAAGAGCTCAAACCAACCCCAACGTCGCCAACGTCGACATGGGCAAGGAAATGTGCATGTACAATAGCAGTCTTCAAGAGTGCAAGGCCCTCCCTGCCCCAGGGCACATGTCTGCAATTCGAGCATCTTCTTGATGGCTGCTGACCTCTGAGTCAGGTTCTCAATCTGATATGAGCTAATTAAACCTGATACATGTGAGGAGCATTGACGAGTACAGAAATTTGCCTGAGGCGAACTCTGCCTATCGAGCGCATGACACCTCTATGCATTATAATAATGTCCAAGAGTATGAAAAACAAGCATGTCATGTAAATATGAAATGGCGATGATTGTGCCCAAACCATTCAGTGGAGTTGTTTTAACGGGCTCGCTTCGTAGCTTCAAATATCCAATGCGGCATCTTGCGTGTTGCAGCAATGTCGCAATCTGAGTGAAACTTAAGTACGCACTAGCTTGGCGGCACATCTGCGACCGCAACTCGCTATCAAGTTCTCTCTTGGTACTCGCAGCAGCTGGGAACCATGATCCGGCCACAAAGCTGCATCAGCTTTGGTCGCCACAGCTTGACGATGAAAACGCTTCAGTTGCTGCTTCAGCAAAGGCTATGCCTGCTTTACCTCCTGGGAATGCAATAAAGACATTCTTGAAGCGGCCGGGAAATTCTGCCAATGCCCTGCCAAGGTTTGTCCCAACATCCTCAGGAGAGTTGTAGAAGACGCCACAGCCTGCGTCTGGAACAACTAGTGTGGTGGCCTCCTCACATGCGGAGGCCGCTGTCAGTACTGCACGCCACTTTTGTAGCAGCTGCTTCTTGTAGCCTTCCGACTCAGGATTTGAGTCAACTGGCGAGTCAGACATCTTGTCATTGCAGTTTGGCATCGCTACAGAGACAACAGCTGTCAAAACTGTCACTGCATCCCTGAAGGAGTAGCCGTCATTGGTTCCATCACGAAACACCTCTACCTTGGGAGACAAGAGGACGCCATCATCAGGAAGATGAGACACCCATGGACTGCCATCTCGCTTTTGAGGAGGTTTTGCCCATGGAGGTGTCTGAATCTTTGCAGCTTCAGCTAAGCCGATTCCATGCTCCAAAGAATCATAAAGTGAACTTTGCACACACATTGCTTCTTCCAAAGCATGCCGACCACCGGTGAGGAAGCCACCTCCGGCGTGGT